ATTATACAAATTATTAAAGAAATCAGACACAAATTGGCATGCCCCAAACACTCCATGCTTATACCTACATACCAATTATCTTACAAAAAAAGTCTATCCTGTGTATTTTGAAATTCATCATGATCACAAATAGAAAGATAATAATGGATTTTTAGCACTAAATTATAAGTTGCTTCATGACCAAATTCTGTTCTTGCTTATCAACTGGTGATTCATACAGTCAGTTGTTTTAATTATTGGTTTATCAGGAGAATGGGAAGAATCCATGAACTCAAAGGTTGTTTAAATAAGTGAAATGTATAAATTATTTTAATTATAGCTATAAATGTTCTGGAAATAAGAGGGCATGACACAGGAAGACATATCTAGACATTTTAGCAGCTTTTGTTTATATAATACTCTCTAGGGCTTACTGCACAAGCCCACAAGTAAACTGCTCACTTTGGATAAATGTTTTGGGATATCAAGACACATTTAATAAATGTTATTTTCTGTTGCCCAGACAGTATCTAAGGGCTTTAAAACATTAACATTTTCAAAAAAATAGTTGACTTTCCCATTTAAAGACTATGTGTTCAGCACAAGTACCAAACTAAAAAATTACATTTCTCAGTTTTTAGGATCATATATATAACATAATTATTTCGCACAATGCTTCATACAAATATGAACACTATACATTTATACATTTAAACTTTAAATATTAAGTCTGTCCTATGGAAAACAAAACACAGTGCATTAACATGCAGTATTTCATGTTTCTCCAATGAGAGTGTCAAGGAAGTGGGCCGCTATAGGTGCAGACCAGAAACTACCTGGTTTAAGAGATCGTCGACTTTCTTCTGCCATGAATCTCTGGCTGCGTTTTTCTCTCGTTCTTTCAGCTGCAATAGTTGAGACATTACTGATTTTTTATCCTCTTCATGTTGAAGTCTTAACTCTTGGCGAAGTTTAGAACACTCGTGTCTAAAATAAAATGCAGATATTTTATTTTGCAAAGAGAATAATTTCCTTTGGTAAATGCTGTATCACAGCTCAGTTTCCTAAATGCTTGTTTGATCCTTCTCAAGTCTGTGAGTCCGCGTATGAGTAGGTTTACAGTAAACCGGTAAGTTACCCAAGATCACTTATGTATCAATTTATCAAAGGCAAAGAGGGCACTAAAACAAATTGGGTCTTCTGATTTCAGGTTGGTTCTCTGCCTTTCAAGAAAGTGAAATTTAGAAAGTGAATCTAATTCAAACAGGGAAACAGAACTCTAAAATCTCTGCATCTAATCATAAGAAAAATTAATTTAAAGCAGGGCACACGTCTTCTTCAATAAGGAGTCACACAGCAGCTGCACGATCCCAGTATAGAGCACAGTGTACCTAAGATTTTCAGTCCACTTTATCTCTAGGTCGTGGGCCACTCTGTCCAGCCTGAGCTTCTCTTCTTCCTTCATGGAAGCAAGTATTTCTTCATGCTGGCGCCTCTCTTGTTTCAGCTCAGCCTGAAGAACAAAACACTTCAGTGAGGACTTGTCCTCAAGCAAAGGCCAGCTGTCACAGACAAGAAGTGGGCTCATACCATAACCTGTGAATTCTTACAGCATAGTAACTGATAATGCTAGCTAGAAGTAGCTGAGACAGTCTTTTAAAATATATAGAACACATTCTATATTTTAAATATCCATACCTTAGTATTTTTTTTCTTTTAAAATATGATTATTCTTTGAGAATTTCATATGTTAATATTGTATTTGCATTATTTCTACCCATCCATGCTCCCTCCAATTCCTCCCATGTCCATCTTCATCCCTCACAATTTCTTATCCTCTTTTTTATTATTGTACATATACATACATTTATTACTTTTTCTTTTTTTAATTGAATTTTTATGTATTTCATACAGAATAGCTCAAACAATCTTAATCATCTTTATACCCCTGTCCCCACTGGCACCTTCCCATAGCCCCCTCTGCCCCCAGAGCCCATATACTCAGTCATCCCTGTTAGGGCCCACTGGGTTGTTAGTGTCCCCAGCTGTTCCCCAGTGCAAGTCTGTCCACTAAGTCTAGTCAGCCTAACTAGAGACCCTTGTTTTAAGAAGATCAGCTCTTCTTCATCTAGCAGCAATCAGATGCCAGCATTCCTTCAGATAAGACTGGGGTCTGCTGTTCATTTCCCCAGTTCTATGCTGGCTTATTGTCTGCCTGAGTTTGCACGGTACCTTAGTAATTATTTAATCAGTGCTTATACTATTTAAATAGTTTAAAGTTTCTTATGTGCACACAGCATACAGACAGTCATGTTATTCAAATACATATTTATTTTTATTTTCTGTGTATATATTTTGCCTGCATGTACGTAAGTGTACCACATGCATACAAACCTATGAAAGCCACAAGAGGGCATCAAATCCCCTGGAACTGGAGTTACAGAGAGTTGTTGCCTGCCACATGGGTGCTGGGAACTAAACCCAGGTCCTCTGGAAGGATAGTCAGTGCTTTTAACTGCTGAGCCATCTCTCCAGCCCTCTCATAGTCATATTTAAAACAAAGTTGTCCAAAGCTTTATCATTACAGCTGTACACAACTGACACAATTAAAGGAATTATGTGGAATTTAGCTAATGGATATTTTTGTTATGTAATTTTAAGTCATGGGTTCATGTGCTTAGTGCTATGATAATGACACGATTCTCAAGTGATCTCTGTAGAGTAGCATCAATCAAATGGTTCTCAGGAGCTAGTATCTGGGGATGACCTGTTTGGGCAACAATGCAACTGTGGGCCACCACCACTGGTGTGGCTGCTTAAAGGTATGGGGCAGAAGAGCAGTAGATGATGGTCTGTCCTCTGGTCACTCTGGTGGCTCTCTCTGGATCACACTCTCACTGAAAGCTTGGGGTATAGTTGGTTTTGAAGAGCATATCAGATTAATGACAAAAAAAAAAGCAAGTCAATACTGAAATTCCCATTCAACACTATTCATCCAGCTACTAAGCAGTAACTGCTAAAAACTGAATTCAGACAACTGTTCTTTTCAAATTCTCTGCTTCTTGGAACTCTCCCCAACCCACCACACAATAGATAGCATCACTGGAGCAGAATTTCTTGAAGTATTTCTTTTACTCATTGCAAGGCACTATATTAGGCATTACTGGGGTAAAAGCTAGAGGAAAAAACATTAAAAGAAACTATGATGCTGTATCTCT